TTTCATTGATCCGCAATGCAAAACCTAACTAGTTATAGACCGTTAAATTATATAGACAATCTAACGATGGTTTTTAGTTTTTTTCACAAAGAACAGTATTCCTTGTACATACACGACCGGAGAGTTGAGAATAGAGTTATGGCTAACAATAACGGCGGTGGAATCTAGGCGAGTTTTGGGAATAACTGGAGAAAGAATGTAATTTCGTCTGATGAAGAGTTTGAGAAACTCACCACTCGAATGAAACAAACGTTTTGCTACAAAACATTTCAATAATTAAAATAATGATAGCGTTTGAAAAAAGTACTTTAATAATCTAGATTTAAAAACAATGACAAACGTTAGTTTTAAATGTATATATAAACATTTTTATCTTTATTATCCATAACATTCTATCTTTATTATATTTGTTCTACAATTTTATTATATTTAGAGACAAATAATTTGATTTTTCGAATAATATATCTTATGTTTAACAAATACAAAAAAAACATTTTAAATAAAAAATAGTGATTGGCTTGAAATGAATTAGTTTTTTGTTTTTATCTTATCTATAATACATGAAAGTAAAACTATGAAATAATTTTTAACCATTCGGATATAACAATTACTATTTAAAAATATATATGTTTGTTTAAAAACTTTATTAGCTACATAAACAAATTATAAAATATTTCATATTTCTTAATGTACTAATATTCTGTTATTTTAACATTAATTGTTTTACATAGATTTAAGTTTAATTATTTGTTTTATGTTTTAGATATTCTTTTACTATGAATGAATTTTGATCAGAAAGATTGATAATATGAAACTATGATGGAATAAAAAAATTAAAAATATTTTAATCGTAAATACAAAATATTTGTAAGTTTAAAATATGTGTTGATTTTGTCATACATCGTCTTAAAAATTTCAATTTCGTATTGTTTGAATATATTAGTTGCACTTACATCACATGATATATATTATAGTTACATTTATTTTTTTCTCCTTCTTAAAAAAATAATATTTCGATTTTGTTATACATCGTCGATTTAGAAATTTAAATTCGTTGTCCCTCTTAAGTAAATAATGTTTCGATTTTTTCATACATCGACTTAGAAATTTGCTCTTGTTCTTATAGTTACATGTAAATTTTCTTGTTTTTGTTCTTATTTGTTATTATATTAGTGAACTATATGCATATAATTTTTGAACTTTCATGTTTAATTTAGAATATGAGTAACTTTTCAAATTCTTTTCATAATGTTAAAACCA